AGGTCAAGCTGAATCACACCTCTAATAGGGGGTTGCGTAAGACTTCTCACCTATTCTGGTATGACAATATGGGAACATTATATGTGCGTATTTTGCGGATTTCAGCGACTTAACCATTGATTTGTTTGCCGGTTGTTCGTGTAGTGTGGGGTGTATCAATCCTTGCTCAAAGCAAATATATATCACGATTGTGCCGGCATCGAACCCAGCATTTCAGGAAATTGAAGCCGACATCTAATCAAATTGTACCGTTCTCCAATTCAGATCGGTCACGGTTACGTTCATAGTTTTATGGACAGTTTCGTTTTAATAATTAACAATTTTTCATTTAACCTGCGCATGATCATCTTTTACTAAAAGCAAGACTCCTGGGAGACATTCTTCAAACTGTAAACCGCAGATTTTGTTTATCACAACATGACTGTATTTGAAGTAAAACTACAAACTATATTCAGTAAAATATGTCTATAATCCACAACTTCTCAGTAAAACAGATTGAACTAAATTTCATATTTTAAATGCTGACACGAATTTGCACGGCAAAAACGTACCACATAAAGAAAGACTAACCTTTCTTGCTTTACACCGTTATTGCGGTAGTGCAAAACAGATCGAATTCTCTAAACTAGGTTTCACCGCAATATTATACTGTCCACTTATTCCTAGTCTGTTGTGGACGGCTTTTCAGAAGGCCTCGGCTCTGTGGTATTTAAGTGCCTTTAGTGCATAGCGGACATGACCGCGTCTATGAGTTGGGTTTAACATGAACATATTGAACTATCCGTGGGCAAATGAGCAAAATGAAACCCCGATGTTCAGGGGTAGCTTCCACGAGCAGAGTTTTCAATACCGATTGAAAATATCACATCCGAATTTCCACGAAGTTGCCTAAGATCATCGGGTAAATATTTTGCTTTACCTTTCTTGTATTTGTCTTCGAATGTGGCAAACTTGGATTGGATTGAATATGACCGTGTTAAGCCTAAAAGCAAGAGAACAGTGCAATATTGCTCCAAAATTTGATGTAAAGACTTCTATCTGTCTTACTCAACCGCATTATGGGTGAAGGTTAGAAAAAGTTTTCTTTCTTTAGCGGCTAGTTTCGTCGCGTAGATCTAGCAGAAAATATTAACATTTGTAATATACCCGCTGTACTGAAAGCCTCACTCGTGGAGGCTAGTCCAGAAAATCGGTGCTATTGGCTATATTTTGCCCTATCTTGCTTAACCGAATTTCGTACTAAGAAGTTCACTGAATCAAAATGGATGAAAATGGCAGTTAACAGAAGTTTTTGGCAAGTTTTTGGCGAGTCATGCATTCAGCAGTGGATCTGGAAAAGTTGATGACGATTACGAAGGATGTTTCAGAAGTTTGTACAGTTCACTGTTATTGCATAATCAAGAACTTTTTTTAGTACGTTGAAGAATGTTAGATAACACATAGCTCTTCAAACACTGGACAAAAAATACGTTGCAGATTGTCAAAGATCCGCTATACAGCAAAATTATTAGAAAGTCAGAGATGTTTGGAAGAAAATCGACTTTAGAGTGTCAGAGAAAACGGGCTATCGAAGTAATGGTAGACTTCGAACATGCTTGAAGAGAAGGGCTTCATTATTCTTTGTGCAGTATATAGCCCAACATTTTCGTCAATGTAGCCGTCACATAATATTAAAGACGTTCATAGCTTTGTGTTGCATGTTTCAAATGCCCCGTGATTCTCATACTTAAGGAAAATCGGCTGTACAATTTTGACTGACTACTGTAACATTAGCAGGTACATATACCGTAAAGAAGTGCTGTAAAGCAGACTTATACTCCACGCACTTGTTTGTCGGTGGGCGTTAAAGTATTAAATTTTAGTACGCATTATTTCAAGAATGTATTTCAGGTTATCTGTAAATATCTTTCTGCCGTATTAGGTTTGCCAGATTTGTGCGCTTGTGGACGCTTTGAGTTATGAAATTTTGGAATTGATTTGATTGGATTTTTTAGAACTTCTATTTTTCCTTTTCTAAACATTCTGTTGTTATTTTAATGTATTTTGTTTTTACCTTTGGAATACCATTTTAAGTGCATGCTAGTTTTATTTAAATTCAATTTTACAACACGAACGGTTTTGGGCATAACTCAAAATTGTCTGTTGTTCCGACGTTTCTGCTTCCGAGATATGGCCTTTGTCCCGTAAGCTGACACGTCATAATTAGAGAATCTTGTCATGCCTAAAGCGATTTTGTGCTTTCTTACATATATTAGCTATTGTTCATATGTTTGTTTTATTTCTTCATTGCGTTGGTATATGTTTTTCGTTTATTCTCTTTTCGAGGTTGCTTGTTTAGTATCTGTTTCGATCATGCTGCTGTCAGGAGCCCAGACATCCATTTCGAAAATTGTAAGGGTTCACGATCGTTTTTGTTGGCTGGTCTCATTTGTTTTTTTGCAGGTGTTGCCTCTCTTGCGGTCCAACCATTTACCACGAATAGTGTTTTGCTCCGGCTTCAGACCTCTAAGTGTTCTCAGCACCTACGGGTCTTATTATCAGGTAATTACTTTGGCAAAATGTGATGTTAATAACCTGTTTTCCCTACCACTAAAGCTCATTTCCGTGTACTATGTCGCAGGTGGTATATAATATCCTCCGTTATGATCGACATCGGCATCTATAAATATGCATATCATCCGTTGTGCTACCTTACAGCATGTTCAGCAGGTTTTTGTACTGGTCTTAGTCCTTTGCCAATCGGGCCGACATCAGGGTCTGATGTCCAGCTTTCTGCATACCGGGTTTATTTGCCCCCTATTGGTATGCTACAATGACACAGTAGGGTGACTTGCATACATCAATTACTTGAATGCCTTACGAAGGCTGGAACGTTTAAACTTTCGTCTGCTATGTTCCCTGATGTTAAAGAGGCTGACCGGTAGTGTTTCCAGTAAGAGGTTTCCACTCCTAACGCATCTGCCATGACGCGAGTTATTTGCATATAAATAGTTTTGAAATTAATTTTTTTGTTTTACTGTGTGGCAACCAATGCTTCTGGATATAGATCGATTATCGTCCGATGCGACTGCGGGGTTTATTATGATTATGATAGTGATTATGCTGTATCGTGTAAACTTAGGCACTCACTTTTTGCTAAATTAATACCTTATTAGTTTCTTATATTGCAAAAAATATTAGGATGTACTGTTTGGTTTTTTAAGGTAAAGTTAATGAAAGATGAAACAGTCAGTTAACTAAATTTACGGTTTGCATTTGGATAACTTTTTCAGTTGTCAGCTGGTTCATTGAGAATTGCAGCCGTAAGGTGCACTCATTGGAACATTATTTTTTATGGTTATTTTACTGTTTTATATAGTTATTATTAGTGATTGCCTCAAAACATATTCGTTCGTGCTTTATCTCTACGATACATAGTAACTGGTCTAGCTTTCTTTGGCTACTCCTATTCAGTTACGATCATGATGCTGATTGTAGGTATGTTTAGCAGTCAGAACTTAGCAGTTTTAGTATGTCTATCTGTACGAATACGCCACATCAGCTGGTTCAGAACCTTAGATACAGAAATTGATACAGCGATTATCCCTTAAACATGGGCATTACCGACTTGGACTTGGTCGCTGATCAGTTTCATTTCTTACCACTATTTACGGATTACCATTCAGACATGCATATATATTCTCAGGAATAAGTTTACACATGCAGTTCTTCTCAGCTTGTGTTGTTGTATAGGTTTTTTCGCTTCTAATGATAAATTCTATGAGGATGTTGCTTGATCAAATTTAGCAAGAGGTTCAAACTGTTGCTTTCCACGGTTGTATTCGACGTGTTCTAACCACCTGAGACTGTCATCGAACTGTGTGTATTAATTCATTAAACAGTTTACCATTATAGATTGCATAGATTTTACTAAGCGCTTAACATAACCCCAGGACCAAGTCACGCGGTTTTTTGATACCTCATTGTTTCTAAATGTCTAAGAGGACATTTAAGCCGGTTGTGACTCCGTGATATTTCAAAATTTGCAGGTCATAGGTTCCCATCACCGCTACCTTGCCGGTGATGGACAGTGGGTAATAGGTAGAATGACACCATCGTTGACAGAATGGTGTGAGATACGACTGGTGCTCACATGTGATGGGATTTTGGCCATGTACAAATATACGTTAGGGCTGTGTATGTTTATTAAGCCGTTATCCTGTACATAATTAGAATGATACAACTTGTGCATTTTTGTCAGGATCAGCAAGCGAATTAAACTTAGAGCTACTGTCGCATGTGCTTGTGATATATTAAATATTATGTCGTTATTATGTCATGTTTTTTAGCCGAGCAGAAACATCAGTACATCACTATGTCGTAGAGACATCGATCAGGCGGCCAGATATATTGGTGCTGGTGCGGCGACGGCCGGCATGGCCGGATCAGGTAACGTTTATGCGCTGGTTTCTGCCGACGATTTTCTTCATTATGTCTTTTTTAGGAGCTGGTATTGGAACCATCTTTGGGTCACTGGTGATTGCCTACGCTCGAAACCCTGCCTTGAAGAACAATCTCTTCAGTTATGCCATTCTCGGTTTCGCACTCTCCGAAGCCATTGGTCTTTTCGCCATGTTAATTGCATTTATGCTCTTGTACGCAGTCTGATCGAACACGCTTTATAAACGGTAAATGACGCGGTTCGTAACAGTTATCTGGTTATTAGCCGATAGTGTATTTGACGAGTTGAACGTTTTTATCTGCACTAGGTAATCTGTTTAGATGATTTGTTTCTTTTATAATTTGATTCAGATTTTTTTTGCACTTGGACAATATATTTACTCAAAAATGTAAAAGTATTTTGCAGTAGTCATGATCTCGACGTTAGTGATTTAATTTAAATGATTTAATTTAGTAACTGCTCAACTGTTGCTGTTGAAAGCCATCCTAATAAATTTATTACGAATCAAAAGAAGGTCCTACAGTCCGTCAAATTAAGCAAGGCAGATGCTTCTTCAAATTGTTGTAACTAATTCCCTCCAAGATCTCACCCGTTCATCTACGTAATGTAAAGCAGCTAACGTCTTAGGTGTTTGGTAAGATGACGAACTTTGATGCATTTGACAAATTAGGATATTCTATGCTTCAGCAGCGCGTTGTGTGTCTGATGTGAATTATATTTACTTATCAGGATTTGTCGCCAGATGACTAACGAGAAAGTGGCTTTCCGGGCTAGCACGCACTAAAATTCCTGGCTAACTTGAAATGTGCCATATCCCACTTCTACGCGAGATGTTTTTGAAGCAATTTTTTAGGCTCAATTTCTACCCAGTGAGTGCTGGCATTCCCCAGGGAAAAGATTCTCAGGCTATTTCGAAGTTGTAGTTGCATCACCACCTAAACTGCTAATTTTTTCAGTGAACCCAAGCCCTGAACAACTGACTTCAGAGGAAGTACTATAAATAAACATTTATGTCTTTTAAAGGATTTTGTCCATGTGATAGAACTGTTAAGAAATTTAACATCTGAAAACGAATCTTAGAAATTCAGTCTTGCAGAGATAACTGAAGTAACTGCGGTGGCCAGAGGTTGCAATACATTGTGAATGATGATGACAACGATTTGCTATAGATATATTTTCATTGTTGAAAAAATGAGTATTTTGTTTCGCCTTGCATGTAAATTAATGTGTAAGCACATCTGTGGCTTTTATGGCAAAACTAG